GCCCCCGCCTCTCCCCATGGTGGGTATTAATTGGCGCTGCTCGTAGCCCGGGCTCCCAGCAGGCTTCAAGGGAAACTCCAGGAGCCGAATACACCCAGACATCCCAGGAGCCAGCTGCAGCTCAGCAGACACATAATTAGAGATAAGACCCAAGCCTGGCTGCAGATCTCTTCCCAGCATCTATTAGCGCCGAGTTTTTTCCACCCCCCCCCAGCATTTCGGGCTACATTGGCAGCAAATAAACTAGCAAATTACCCCGACTGGGGCTTGTTCGCAACGGCCCTTGGGGCCATGCGGCACAGCAGAGCTTGGCTCGCGACCCCCTCGCCAAACCCCCTGTGGGCACAGCCACGGGGACATGGCCGCGGCAGCATCCCTGAAGGAGCAGCCCCCCGCTCTCCCGGAGCCGGGGTTAGGATGCTCGCCTTTGGGGTGGGCAGGAGCCCGGGCTGCCCTCCACCAGCCCGCCCATGGAGCCCCCACGAGAGCCCAGCCCCATCGAAACAGCATTTCTGGGACAAAATTACAGGCAGGAGAGCGCTGGCTTTTTGGATGATTGCTCCAAGCTTGCTTCCAGCTCCCTTTTTCAATTTTTCTTCCCCCTCCCCTTTTTGGGGAGGCGTTGGCGGCAAGGCAGCCCCCTCTCCTGCTGCCGGCTCTCCAAGGCTTGGCCCCATGTGCCTGCAGCCGCCAGCCGGGCTCACCCCGGACCCCGGGAGCCTGGGATGGCTCCAAGGAGCCTGGCTCGATAAGTCTGCCTCATAGACAGGGCTCTAGCTCTTTCAGGGTAGGCAGTATCTGATAGCCCCCTTTGTTTAATCTGTACGCATTCCGAGCTTTGGAGAGGAGGAGGAAAGGAGAGGAATGGTTGCATCTCTAGACGGGTGGTCAAAGCTGTCGGTCACAAACAGGAGCTCCCCCGGCCTCCTCGGCACGTCAGCAGGCAGCACAGCTCTCGGTTTGCAGCCTGAAACGGCGGCAGGACACGTGGCCCATGTTCCCCACAGCATCCTCCCAGCCCCCGGCACGGGCTCTCGCAGCCCCCGGCCAGGCGGATCGGCTGCGGTGACGGCTGGGGCAGTGCCTCCGGCGCCTCAAAGAAAAAAAGGGTTTACTGTATCTGCCAGCACCTGGGCATGAAACGGGGCTGCGGGTGATGCCGGTGGCCATACGTCTTCCCATGCTGGGGAGCAATGGGGAGAGCCGGAGGAGGAGGGCTTGGGCGCATCGCACGTCCTCTCCTGGCCCCTGTTGCCAAGCGCGCCCACGGGTTTCACCAGCTGCCGGCTTTTGCTGGAGGACCGAGGTTGGCTGGGGGTGCGGCAGAGGGCTGGGGTTGCAGCAAGGGGTGAAGCAGTTTCGTTTCAGGCTGCCGGAGGGGCCCCATCTCCGCACCGGTGCAAGTGGCACCCGTCAAACCACAGCCCTGAGTTTCCCCTGGTGGGGCAGGAAGTTCACAGGAAGGGCAGCCGGTGAGCGGCACGGGCCGCCGCTGCGCCGAGCAGCCGGTGGAGCACCGTGTGGCCCCGTGTCCTGCGTCGGGCACTGCCACCGGCCCAGGGCTGGGGCCAAAGTCCCTCGCAGGCGCTGCTGGCCAGACCGCAGAGCAGGGCAAGCACCCGTCTGCCCCGCAAAACCTCACTGCACGCATCCAGCTTCCGCAGCACCGATATTTAAGCAATAAAATCAGTGTTGAACGGGACTGGCTTTCAGTTTCCCCAGCATCACTCTCAATACATTTGACCAGTCCTTAACTTTAAAAAAAAAAAAAAAGCTCCACAACCACTAATGAGTTTGCACTAATTTAACGCATCCTGACCGTCATCGCTGTAAGATGACTAAAACCTAGGGAAATGGTAGCGCGCTGGGGTCCCGGCAGCGATAGGGCATCCTTTGGCTTCTGTTTGTGCCTTTCTCCATCCAAGACACATTCTTCCTCTGGCTGACACTCTCTGTAATTACAAGCTGATGGCAGAAATCCCAAACCCGAAGCAGCTTCTGGAGTCGAGCGCGTGGCACCCATGCCAAGGTGGGGTGTTACAGCTTCGAAATGCTTTGCAATCGGCTGAGTGGGTTTTGCTCTGGTGGGCTTTGTCTTCGCGCTGCACGGGACACGGCTGCAGTAAGGGTGGCTGGAGCTTTCCCTCTGGGACATTTCGGTTTTTCTCTGCAAACACTATTAACACCAGCGCCGTTGTGCAGGCAGGGGCTGTAGGTGGGGCAGCGCCTGCTCTTGGTTTCTTTTCACACCCTACACATTGTTATCTCCTGCAAAGTTGCTTCAGAGGCATTTTTGGAGTTTCAGTCTTAGAAACAGTTGGGCTTTTTTTGCTTCACACCTGCGTACGCCTGCCTGCGCCTTGCTTGGGGCTGCAGAAGCGTTTCCTGGGGGGGGGCTCGGCCGCCGTGCCCCCGCTGCGGTGCTGGACGCGTTTGCCGGAGAGGCTTTTGTGCTCTGACCCGCTGGCTGGGTCCCTGCAAACAGGCCGTGTGCTGCAAAGCCGCTCACGGCTGTTTGCTTATGGCTCGTTTTCATTGCCAGGAGCGTGCAAATGGCTGGGGGGGGATCGCAGCCCAGCTTCAGCCTGAATTTCACCTGCAGGGCTGCTCCTCAGCCTGCCCCTTCTCCTGCCAGCAGCTCTGGTGGATCCATTACCCATACGGCAGCCTGAGTTTTTGAAGCTTTTCGCTTGACCAAAACGCCCGTGATGTGACCCATTCCCACCGCAGGACCCTGCTGCCTGTTTAAGCCCCCAGGGGAGAGCAGAGCCACCTCCACCATCTGGTAAAGCCAGTGATGGGCCAGCAGGCCAGACCCTTCCCTGGAGGTGGGATGCCAGAACTGATGTTTGGCTCCGTGGCAGGATGAATTTCAGGGAGAAGTGGCAAAAACCACCACCTCCCCTCCACCTGGCCCAGCCTCGGCTGTTCTGGCTCCCCGGCATGTCCCAGGCTGAGCAGGACTTGCCCGCAGCTGAGCCGCTGCGGCTGGGCACCGAGGTCTCCATGCCTTCAGCACAGCCCTCCACTGCAGCATGAGAAGGAAGGACCCGGTGCTAAGAAGAAAAGAGAAGAAAAGGGGAGAATAAACGAGATGCAGAAAGGACGTGAAGTGTGAGAACCTTGACCTGAGAGGGAAGGAAACAGCAGAACGTTTTGAAAGCGAAAGCCTGCCCATACGGGAAATCTGAGCGCTCGTGCAGCCCACCGGCTCGGTTTTGCCGGTATCATGAAAGTCTCCAGCTGTCCCTGCCAACCTGTCTGGCTCGGTGGCACCGCACGGCGGGTCCCACGCAGGCTGAAGCAGCCTTGTTGAGGAGCAGGGCCAGCTGCCTAGCTGAGACCCTGGTGGGACGCTGTTTTTTCTGGTGGGGATGTGGATGTCCTCATGGGCATATGGCTCTCCTGGTGAGGACACTGATCTCCTGGTAGGGACGCTGCTCTCCTGGTGGGGACATAGCTCTGTTGGTGAGGACGGTACTCTCCTGGTGAGGATGTCATTCTGGTGAGGACGTTGCTCTCCTGGTAGGTCCACTGCTCTCCTGGTGGGGGACACGGCTCTCCTGGTGGGGGATATGGCTCTCCTGGTGGGGGATATGGCTGTCACGGTGGGGGATATGGCTGTCACGGTGGGATACAGCTCTCCTGGTGGGGACATAGCTCTCCCAGTAGGGACACTGCAGTCCCACTGTGGTGGGACATGGTTCTAGTGAGGCTTTGGTGACAAGCCCCTGGACCGCTGCCCCACTGCTCCTTGTGCTGGAGGGGATGGTTTGGGCTGGGGGAGCAGGCAGGGGGACAGCAGGCAGGACCCTGGTGCCTGGTCGGGGGCAGGCAGCCCCACAGCCCTGGCCCCTGGGGAGCGGAGCAGGGAGGATGAGGCTGGGGGCAGCGGGGGGCACAGCTCCCCTGGGGCAGAGGCAGCACGAGCAGGATGGGGCTGGGCTGCGGCGCTGGGGAGGCTCCTTGCAGGGCGGTTCCCCCAAACCTCGTCCCTCCACCACAGGCACGGAGCTGTGCGTTAGCCGGGTGTCAGGGCTCTCCCCATGGGGCTGTGCAGCAGCAGGGACCACGCCCCGAGTGAAGGCAGCCCCCATGGCACCGCTGGGGACCTGCTGCGCTACGCCCTGGAAAACCTCACCGAGGCAGATTTTAATACATTTCGGGATGTGCTGGCATATGGAGACCTGCCGGGCATGACCTCCATTCCCTGGGAGCAGCTGAAGGATGCTAACTGGACGGAAACGAAGAACCTCATGCTGACTCACTGCCGCAGTGGCGAGGCTGCCCTGGATATGGCGATAGCCGTCTTTGAGCACATCCAGCTCCGCAATGCCGCCGCCCAGCTCCAGGAAAAAAGAGAGAAAGGTGGGAAGGCTGAGTGGCTCCCCGGCGAGTGCAGCATCCCGCGGGGTCCCAGGCACCGTGTCGTGGGCGTTGTGTCTGCAAGAGCCCATGTTTGGGGCCAGGAGGATGCTATAGAAAGGGCAGTGAGTTGGGGGTCCCCATGGCAGGCTGAGGGCGGGTCCTCACGGGAGGAGGAGATGGAAGAGGATTTGGGGGTGTCGGGGCTCAGTGATGCTGCCCACTAACACCCCTTTCTCTTCCAGCCCTGGGGCCCGCTCCTCTGATGGCTTCATCGTCACCACATAGTTGCCAGTGGGGAGAAATGCAAGGCACTCGCCCCATGGTCCACAGATGCATGAGGTGCCTTCCCACCTTTCCAAATTACCAGAGGAATTACAAAAAAGCCATACGCCAGGCGTACAGCCGCATAAAGGACCAAAACGCCCGGGTGGGTGAAGGTGTGAGCCTGAACGCCAGGTACGCAAGGCTGGTGATCATCAACAAGCACCTCGACGAAGAGCAACGGGAGCACGAGATTGTGGCCATGGGAAGGAGACACGCGGAGATCATGAAGGAGCAAGCTGGCTCCTCCATCGCTGTTGGCGACCTCTTCAAGCCTGGCCCCGATGGCTGGATCCCCAAGGTGGTCGTGCTCCTGGGAGCTGCAGGCGTGGGCAAGACTATGACAGCCAGGAAAATCATGCTGGACTGGGCGTCCAACAAGATATTTGCGAAGTTTGACTATGTCTTCTACATCCACTGCCGGGAGGGCAACCTCCTCACCAGAGAGGCCAGCATGGCCAACCTCATCAGCCAGTGCTGTCCCAGAAAGCCTCTGCCACTTGCCGAGGTGCTGGAGCAGCCGGAGAGGCTCCTCTTTGTGATCGACGGTTTTGACGAGCTCCGCTTTTCCTTTGACCTGCCCCCGTCCAAGCTGTGCTCCCACCCTTGTGAGCAGAGGACGGTGGAAATCATATTGAGCAGCCTCTTTCGCAAGAAGCTCCTGCCCGAGAGCTCCCTGCTCATCACCACGAGGCCGACTGCCCTGCAGAAACTGGGCAAGTGCCTGGATTGCGAGCGCTACGCCGAAATCCTGGGGTTTTCGGAGGCAGAGAGGAAGGAGTATTTCCAGAGGTTTTTTGAAAGCAAGGAGCAGGCGGCTGCTGCTTTCCAGTTCATCAGAGGGAACGAGACTCTCTTCACCATGTGCGTGGTGCCCATCGTGTGCTGGATCGTCTGCACTGTCTTGAAGCAGCAGCTCAGCCGCCCTGGGGGTCTCACCCAAAGCCCGAAGACGACGACGGGGATCTACATCCTCTACCTTTCCGCCCTGCTCCGGTCGCTGAGAGGCTCGGTGAAGCACGGCATGCCCGGGCTGCTCAGGAGGCTGTGCTGCCTGGCGGCCGACGGCATCTGGAAGCAGAAGGTCCTCTTTGAGGAGAAGGAGGTGCAGGGGTATGCACTGGACGAGCGAGAAGCCCTCCCGCTCCTCCTCAACGAGCACCTCTTCCAGAAGGACATCTCCTGCATCAGCACCTACAGCTTCATCCACCTCAGCTTCCAGGAGTTTTTTGCGGCGCTCTTCTACCTGCTGGACGATAAAGGGGAGGCGCAGGACTGCCCCGCCGGTCCCACCAGGGATGTGAAGGAGCTGCTGGCGAGCTACGGCAACTCCAGGAACTACTTCATGCTAACTGTGCGGTTCCTCTTCGGGCTCTTAAACAAGGAATGCAGGAGGGAGCTGGAGAAGGAGATGGGGTGTAAAATCGCACACAGTGTTACGCAGGAATTACTGGCATGGCTTCAAAACAGCCAGGAAACTCCCCTAGCTCTTCTGATGGAGGAGACGACGGTGATTCGCGAGCTGGAGGTCTGCCACTGTCTGTACGAGCTCCAGGACAACTGTTTTGTAGCCACCGCCTTGGATCCTTTCACGGGGGTGTACCTCCGAGGGCTCAACCTTAACCGCTTCGATCAAATGGTCCTTTCCCTCAGCATAAGAAACTTCCCCAAACTGGAGTCGCTGGAGCTGGGGCACTGCTCCTTTCTGTGGGACGACGCCGAGGACTGCACCAGCCTGCAGCCGCCCAAGCAGGAGTATCGGTGCGTAAGGTCCCGAGCCGCAAAGCGGTGAATTCCCGAGAGCCCAAAGAGCTGTGATGGCCCCTCAGAGGAGCCTGCGGCACGGCTGGGCCTCCTGCCGCCCCAGGGCGGCCCCCCCTGCCGCACCAGGCACATCGGCAAGGGGGTACAGGTGTGACCTAGGGACACAGCCAGCGGCCACGGAGCAAGACTGGAATGGGGATAGAAATAGGAATAGATTAGGAATAGGACTAGACTAGACTAGAACGGAACAGAACAGGAATAGAATAGGATAGGAACAGGGATAGGAATAGGAGTGGGAATAGGATAGGATAGGAACAGACTAGGAGCAGGAATCAGGAACAAGGTGCATCTCTTTGTTTTCAGAGACAAACAGCAAGAGGAGGGGAAGCAGTCACCCATCCACCTGCTTTGTCAAGCCTTGGAAGAATCAGGCTGTAAATTAAAGACGCTAAGGTACATCACTCTTCTCTGCCGGGTGAAACAGGAAAATAAGCAGACCCCAGCCAGCCTGGCCGGGTCTCCTCACTGCACGGGGAGGATGGCCACGTACCACCACGGCTTGCTGCATGGGGGGACGGGCTGTTCTCCTGCTCCCCGGAGGCTGTCCGCGAAGACCAGCCCAGTTTGCGGACACCATCAGCGGTGGCTACTGCAGCGAGGGGCTGGCCGGTGCGTCCACATGGCAGGGCAGCTGTGCCGAGCCCGCGGCTCCTCTCTCTCGCAGGTTTGACCAGTGTCAGCTCACAGGCGCCTGCTGCAGGGCTCTGGCCTCCGTTCTCAGCACAAACCCCACCCTGACGGAGCTGGACCTGGCTGGGAACGAAGACCTGAGGGACGGCGGCGTGAAGCTGCTCTGCGAGGGGCTGAGACGCGGTGGCTGCCAGCTGCAGACACTGCGGTAAGGGATGCCACCAGTGCCGGGAGGCTGCCGGGCCGCTTGTCTCTTCTCCTTGCGAGCCTGGAAGAGGGCGGAAAAAAGAAAAAGAGATGAGAAAGGCCCATTTACTGATGCTGCCATTGCTGAAGATGGCTTGAGGCATCGCAGACCTACTTGTTGCAGGGGCCTGACCCTTATTATTACCTTTTCCATCAATATAATTTAGTTCCACATTTTTAAATGAATGAGCCCCTGCTAGGACACTGTAGGAAAGTAAGAGAGAGAACTCATTTTCAGTGCCTGGGCCAGATGGAGAAGTTAGAGGGGGGGGTCTGTGCTACCATCCCCGCTGTTTGCTTGTCTGTGGGTGTCTCTGCACCCCAGGCACCTTTTTCCCGGGCTCCTGCCCTGCAGCTGCGGGTGTTTTCAGGTCCCCGTGTGCCTGGGTAGGGTCAGGGCTGGCCACGCACCATGCAGAAACACATAATTGAAGACGGGGATTCACCCCACGGACCATTTCTGGGAGAGGATGAACCGTCCCTTAGTGGTGTCTGCATTTCCCCTCCATTTATTTTTTGGGTGTTTCCATTTTCCCCTAGTATAGATTTGAAAGAGGGAATCTCTCTAAAACTTCAAAAGTGAGGCAGATTAGTCTCACCCATTCAAGCAATATCAATTGTTTGCCCCCAGACCTTTACTCCCTAGTTGAGCAGAGGCTTTCTGGTCGCCTTACCTCTCCATCCCCACGCTCCGGCACAGCGGGACTGCTGCCGGTACCGCCTCACGGCTGTGCTTTGGCATTTTGTCCCCTAGAGTTTGCACATTTGGGTTGTGTTTTGCACTCTGGAGCACGTTCAAGCTGCTTTCAGCATCGCTGTGCCCAGGGATGCCGAACAAGGAAACTCAGCAGCAAACAGCAGCTACAGGCGCGCCAGCTCTGGGAGAGGGGGGGAGAGGGCAGTGAGATGGTCCCCTCTCTTTCGCAGCACCGTGTCCCCAGAGCTGCTGCAGGAGCTGCCTCTGTGCCCGGGCTCAGGCAGGGGACACTGGCCAGGTCTCCTCCAACCTGGGGCGATGGAAGAGGGGGGCACAGCACCAGTGGGCAGGCAGCTTCACTGCCGTCTCTCCCGCAGGTTGGGCTGCTGCAACCTGACGGCCGCTGGCTGCAAGGACCTGGCTGCTGTGCTGGGCACCATGCCCAGCCTGGTGCAGCTGGACCTGAGCGACAATCCCCTGGAGGACGGCGGCGTGCAGGAGCTGTGCGGGGCGCTCGCGGGACCCGGCTGCAGCGTGCAAAAGCTCTGGTACGGGGCGTCGGGCTGGCGGGTCCCGCTCCGCGGCTGCTCCCAGCAGATGCTTTTGGGGTGTGAGGGAGGGCAGCGGCGGCCGTGCAGCTGGGTGTGCTGCTGTGCCACGCTGCTCCCCCTGCGTTGCGCTAATTAAACAGCCTGACCACAACCTCGGGCTCAAAAAGCAGCGGGTGATTTTCGGAGAGAAGCAGCTTGCAGGGGGTTGAGCCCGGCTTAGCCACAGCACTGTTCCCCGCGCAGGCTGTGGCGGTGCCGCCTGACGGAGGCGAGCTGCGGGGCTCTCGCCGCGGTGCTCCCCGCCAGCCCCAGCCTGAGGGAGCTGCATGTGGAGGACAACGAGCTGGGGGACGGCGGCGTGCGGCGGCTGTGCGAGGGCGTGCGGGGTGCTGGCTGCCGGCCGCAGGCCCCGAGG